CAACATTCACAGTGTCAACTGCTCGAGTCGCTGAAGCTCTCTCCGTTTGGAAACATGAGGCATTTAACACCAAGAAAGGGAAAAAGAATTACATCAGCTAATATTGGCTTCGTCTTCCCAACGATAGTCATAACTTCATTGCGACGTACTGCATTTCATCCGAAACATTAGTTCCTGACGATCGACCATCCGGAAGCGAATCCTCCCGAGGGAAGGAAGTGTCTTGACATGTCTCCTGGACAACACTTCTTGCCGTGGTGACGAGACAATTTAATAGGCTCAATCTGATCCCTGGTGAACTAATGTGCATCGATGCGAGTTTAACTAAGCCGTGTTGTCGGCCTTGGACTTAACACTCATACACACACACCTTCCGGCTGTTTTACAGCTTGACGAGATCAGAAAAATCACATGTCAGTGATAGTGCTACAAGCACGAGCGATAATACTAGGGAAGGTTCGTCGAGTGCATGCCCAATTTTGTTAGCGTGCTGGTGGACATTAATCACCACCGTTACGGTATAGAATCCACCGACGTATTAAGCGAATGAAGTCCCCAACACTCACTGAAGCGAACTAAACTTCCTTTTAAGGCGGGAGAAAGAGCAGATTGGAATGTGTTGTAGTATGTGGCTGCTGGTGAAGACAGAGCCTTCAATAAAAAAAGCCCAGCCAGCTCTCATGTTGGAGCCTCATGTTCTCCCTATTTTTTCTTCTGCTCCTTATCCCACATCTCGCATTGTTTCCTCTGGAGTTTAGCAGTGCCCAGCGTGAGTAGATAAGCGGTGAGAACTACTCCGGCCGCGCTGAGATTGGACGTGAAATTGTCGAACCCGAAGGCTACTTTCAAAATGCTTTGAATGGTACCTGAAGAATGCAGAAATGTGATACAGCATAAGATGTGTCAAACGGAAGCTCATAAAAATGCGAACAAGCGATTTCCCTGTTAATAGGATATATGGCTAATCGTAATGACATTGATGATAAACGTAGATACATAATATGTAAGAGTAAATATTATCAACACCATTATTAGGTATCTATAGGGGTATAATCATCATAAACCATACAGTAATATCCATATCAATATCATATAATTATTATACGATGATATATTAGAGTTTCACCCGTTTTACGTGAAGTGGCGTAAAACTCGGTGAAAAACGCGATATCCGCGGCCTGTAGTAGTCGTGAAATATGTTTTTCACTAGTGTATTTCATATCACTAGGCCTTAGTGATATGAAATACACGCCCTAGTGACTAGGGTGAAACTACATTGTATTAATCCTACACCTAGGATAAAGTTATAAATGCCTATTTACTATACCATTACGCCCCTATGGGGTATATTAATAAGATTATTATTGACAGTATGAACTGGTCGTTACTGAAATAGAGAATGTGTACGATTAGGTAGCTGGGGATGGTGAACTGTAGAATGCCCTTCAAGGTTCCTTTGGTCATGCGATACCTATTGGGAGGGATTCGAAGCTCCTATGAAGTTGCTGTATATGGCACTCACTTGAAACCGTATAGACATCTTACGGTGACCCAGAGAGCCCCACAGGCAGCAGCGAAGGTCGGGCGACCACATAATGCACACATCCACATTGTGAAGAGCATGTGGTTACCTACCAAGAATAAGAATACACCAGCATGTTGTGATAAACGTAGCTCTAGTCCTACTGTTTTCGAGTTGATTTATATGCACCCTCATGGCTCGAGCAAGCGGTTCTGGGGCGCCCTCGGATCCTTTCGGGAAACCCCAGTTGAAGTATGTGCCTGCATGTACGTACGAGGTCATCCTAGGTATGATCTTAGCTTACGACTAGCTCCGATGCAAATGAAGTCAATCATCCCATACTGCATTAGCCACGCTATGGTAACTCCACAGGGAGCCCAAAACATTCTGACGAACTCAGTAGAGAAAGTGTCCACGCTCATATGAGAGGAGGCTCCTAGGATGGACATTACTATGCAAAAGCTAGATGTCTGCGAAATGGCATTTCTCGCTTTACCAGAATTCCCGTCTTGAACGCGGCTCGCGCGATCCCGGATCACATTTCATCGTTACCCTTTCCCAAGAGTACGAAGACAACGATTGAGATATTGATGACAGCAGGGCTAATTGTGCGGGAGGAGCGGAGCTCGCTCGCCCATCGCTGAGAGCTCGCGCGTCACTCGAGAGCTTTTGTTGCTCACAATTCGATCTTCTGGACAACTATGATCTCTTTCTGTAGTCTCCTACACATATCCGAATGCTAAGGAATCTAGTGATTCTTCACTCGCCTTCAGAATCGCCGTAGTTACACCAAGATGATTCATCACGCACGCATGCACCGTGTGTGCGAGTGTAATGCACGCACAACGGGAACTGACGTTTGTTGCAGTATATCCTCCGCTCGCTCACATTCACCCTAGAATAGGATACTACTCTAACCGAATAGTTCGCTAATCTACCACAGGTCGCTATCGTCTAGTGGTTAGGACGTCACGTTGTGGCCGTGCCAACCCCGGTTCAAATCCGGATAGTGACTACAGTTTTGACCCAACCTATCAGCATTTCATGATCATCTCCGAAATTCCCTCCCGAGTGGGATATTCATCGGAACTCGACGGATAAACACGCACCATACAAGAACAGTAAACACGACCGGAGTACGCCACAATACAATACTCTCCTACACAAACTGACAGCAGCACAAGTCATCTGCAACGATAAATCAACGACATGGTCCATGCTGACTCAACTCTTTTCATAACGCAATCCCCAGAGATGGTGGAAACAGCAATCGATATTGAAGAAAAGACGAATCTCCTCGGGAGACCTTGCACAGTTTATTCGGGACGAGGATCTGCATCAGTGCTATGGGAGTGGTATACACAAGCTGGTGGCATCTTAGAATCTCTGCTCGACCGAATAGATCATGTTGTGCCTCCACGTTGCCGTCTCCTCGCGCGAACGTACTATGGAGTTACACACACTCCATTCTCGGCAGTGTGGGAAAGTGTGCATATGACCAACGACATATGCTGATGAGTCATCAGTGATGACAACATGTGAATTTTGAGGAGATTGTGTTAACTTACTGTTGGTTTCTGTAGACTTTTACCACATGTCCTGTGTTATTCTGTATAATTATCGAGGAAACTCTTGAGCTCAGCCGAAGAAAGGAAACATATATTCCTCCAACACTGTTTCAAGATATCTCCAATGGTGTCGAACCCCTCGCGCCTCACCAAGAAGAGACGTCCCTCTCGAATTGATGGGCATGTACAGTACGCGCCATCCAAAGAACCGCGAGGGTAACTCCTACGAGCCGCTCCACATTCCGACCTGCTCATCAGTCGTGGATACAAAACTGGTCCCCGGCGAACTACCAGATACAACCTCTCTTCCTGTTGTTGTGTGATTACTACTGGTCTACAACAACCCCTCGTAGGAGGACACTCCCTCGCCCACCACCCCATAGTTAAAACGGAGACTAGTCACAGCACCAAATTACATTATTGGAAACCTCAAAGTGTTCGACGAAAATGACAAAGGGACGAATCGCCGGTCTCACCGGTATGGAGTAAAATCAATCTTTCGAAACTTTACAAAGCCGTTCCGTCTTCTTCGGACTTCCTCCCTCATCCACAAGGGAATCATGGCGAGTCATCGAGTACACCTCAGAGGGATCAGCCGGTGGGACGATCACTGACATCATCATCATTCATAATACTGGGAAATGATGAATTCACCTTCTCCAGTGTGGCCAGGCACATCAACCTTGGACCCAAACCAGTCATCCCACGCATCGTTACCCTCCAGACCGACGCCTCCCTCCTTATCTATTGGATAATACATCTACGGACTCATCTAGCTTGGAAGAACAACACTCTCCATGGTTTCATAACAATGAGGAAAATGCTCCTAATGTGATGACGACATTCACAAAAATGTGGAAAATTCGAAACGAGTTTCCCCGGGAGCATTATAGGTCCCTGACAGCGTCTATGAAATTCATCACACCGTATCGGCCACCGAATAGGCCCCACTACTACTACTACTACTACTACCCTCGACCTGTTTTCCACCAAAGTCACTATTATCATCAACAGCAGCAAAATCTGACGCCACACTGTCGTAGGAAATCAGTCGACTCCCGCTGGGATTCGGCTCCTTGGAAATCTGAGATGGGAACCTGCCATTCGAAGGATAACCCGTCCACACTACCTCCGGGCCGCCGGGAGGCGACTGTTCTCGGCTGGCAGGCTTAGCTCGCGTCGAACTCTGAATACGTGTACGGATGAACTCCTCCAGAAAATAGCAACTTCTACCTCTCCTAGCATCTCACGCAGCAGCGATGACCACGAAGAGCTACTCGATGAAGGACCTACGGCAACGGGTGTGAGAGAGCCATAACGTCGGGAAGGGGGGCAGAGGAGGAGACATTACTTGGTGACGATTCACGAGAGGGATGGATGAATGGCGCCGCACGGGGCGCCTGTGGAGTTTGCGGATCTGGAATACATCACAGCAGTAACAAAGAGGTCAGTTATGGACTAGGGTTGATTTCTGTGAAATGAATCCAACCACTACACCACTCTTCAAAGGGATTCACAAGGAGTGTGATATAGTTACTGTCCATACCTAGCCTATCTATCGGCATGTATTCTGTCCCAACTTTACTACATCTTCCACCATTTCGTGTTTGACCATTCGGTCGTGAGGGCGGCGGTCCCTCATCGTCTTGAGCTTGCCTTGCAAGACATTCGTCGATGCATTGTTCCAATGCAGCATTATTATTGATTAACACCTGATCGAATACGATATGATTTTTCTTTATAATCTCATTAGAACTCAATCATCCACACGCCCAGAGTTAGTACCTCATCTATGGTCTCAACTTTCATATCGGGGAACATTTCCTGTAGCGTTTTAAACGCTTCAGCCAGTGGAGAAGCCACCACTTGTACGTACTCAGCGTTAGGGGTTGGCCTACGTTGCGAGAATATCAACAATTACGATAGGATGAATTCGTGGACGAGGTATAAAAGCGCGAAATCGAGCAAAGAAGCTTGTGGGAATAAAACTACTTTTTGTGGTAGACAACAGAGTGAGGTATAAAATCCAAAGGAATTTCGTGAAATAAAAGGAGAACCGAGACCCGTCCCAAAACCCGACAGGACCAACCAGATCTCCCCAACTGTTATAAAAAACCATACATTGGATTTTGATAACATTGTAAACATCATCGCTATCATCATTATCGATTGTAGGATGTTTCCGAAACTATATACGAGAACAACATAGTTGATTTCATATCCGGAGTTCGGCGAGCGACTCACTGTGGTGGAGGGGCGCTGCTGGAGGCCCGTGGAGGGAGGACGGCGGGTTCCTTAGACCTTCTGAACCCTCGGACGAAGTTCATGGACGTAATCCACTAAAAACTGAAAAAGAAACTCTCTTAAACTACTGCAGTTAAGGGTTGCACGGAAACATATGAAAATTCGTTCAATATAACGCACGGTGGATTCAATCCGGGGACTTATCGGATACTGGGGAAGAGTCATAACGTCTACGACATAACGACATTTGCATATATGCACTCTGAAAGTCGTTGCCGACTCATTCCATGTTGCATGACTGGCTCAGGGAGGGCAGGTGACGTGAAGGGCGTGACGCAGGCGTAGCACGGTGACCACATGTTGCCTTGTCGCACTCCAAGGGTAAATTACAAAATCCAAGGGAGTATGACAAAATCAAAGGAAATTTGTCGCTCGCACTTAGCACTTTGGGTTTCTACACCTTTTAAACATCTAGTTCGTCTTTGGAACCATCAATTTCGTCGGGACGCGCGAAGTTGGAGGTACGAATCCGAAACGGGAAGATCATATTCGCAATTAGAACTTTCAACTTCGTCATAGAACTTTCAAGTTCGTCCGAAGTCGATAGGAAGTTCAAGTTCGTTCTAATAGAACTTTCAATTTCGACTCTCGAACCTTCGAGTTCGTCATAGAACTTTCAACTTCGTCGAGTACACCTTTGAAACTTCAATTTCGTCCCTTTAGGAAAATCGACTTCGTCGTTCGGAACTTCAATTTCGTGTTTGCGGGGCAATTATGCCAGTACTCTCATGGTGAGGCTTATGATTAGTGCTCGCGGTACACAACCGAGGTAGTACTACAGCAACAACGAAGGCACTATTGAAAATCCTCATATCAATGTCATCATGACATTCTCATGTGACATCTCATTCATGTGACATTATCATGTCACATGAATAGTGCGGCCAGCCAGTAGCTGGCAGCCACTCATATGACTGGCTCGATCAAGAAAACGACATAGTCAACCACCGGCAGGCATGTATTCGTGGTTGATTGCTTTACTCAACAACCAATAGCATGCCCGCAGAAGCGAGCTGTGACAGCGGAACGATGCCTCCTCGCCATGTTCTCGAGCCATGTGCGCGCGGTCAGGAGATATGACGGGGTGAGCGGGAGCAGCGGCCGCATGGATGGGTGTCGCAGAGGCTTGGTTCTGCATGATGCCCACGGACGAGTGACACGGTCAGCAAAACACGAGCCTCATCGTAAGAGTACTGGCATAATTGCCCCGGTAACACGAAATTGAAGTTCCGAACGACGAAGTCGATTTTCCTAAAGGGACGAAATGGAAGTTCCAAAGGTGTACTCGACGAAGTTGAAAGTTCTATGACGAACTCGAAGGTTCGAGAGTCGAAATTGAAAGTTCTATTAGAACGAACTTGAACTTCCTATCGACTTCGGACGAACTTGAAAGTTCTATGACGAAGTTGAAAGTTCTAATTGCGAATATGATCTTCCCGTTTCGGATTCGTACCTCCAACTTCGCGCGTCCCGACGAAATTGATGGTTCCAAAGACGAACTAGATGTTTAAAAGGTGTAGTTGCTTTGATGACAGATTTCATGTGTATAACAGTTCGGGTTTCTGGTTGCCTTGTCGGGTTTCGGGTTTACCCTTCAACTTGTCTTCCTTGGATTTTGTACATCACCCCGCACTCCAAGTGATACGCTGATTTCACTTCACCAGGATGCATAGGAACGCATATGCACGATGCGCCAAAAGGACTTTTTTTTGTGTGAAGGATCGCATCAGCCGCCGAGGCTGTTGCGACTAAGGAGATAGGAGGCCGTCCAAGACCTCCTCCTCATTCGGGACCTACTGCGCGGCATCTCATAAAGCCTCTATACTCTCATACTCGAACTTGTAGTTTATATTAACTTTATATCAAAACTCTTCAATCCATCATCGATGATGATAATGATGATGATTCATCATTCTCTCTTATCTATAGCTTCCGATCTTCATCATCAGTAGTTTGCGTGCAACTGGCGGTAGTTTAGCGAAACGTTGGTAATAAAGCATATATTACTCGTTGTAAAGGAATGCTTCAATCAGCAGTGTTCGATCCGTTCACTTGTAGGTGTTGAACTTTCTCAATATGAGTTCTAGTACTAATGCAGCCGACGACGGAGCTCAGCATGTTTGGCGAACAAATGCTGGCAACTACTACCATGTGTTAGACCTGGTCATCACCGATCCAGAGGTAATAGTAGGATGAATATAGGGAGCGTTCAATTAACCGATTTCGAAATACTGAATCGCTTCTTATACGTAAAATACGATGCTAGAATCGATTATGACATCCTGAAATTATTCAATGAAGAAGAGGGTGCTCTCAACTGGGATCAGCTTCGGTTCGTCTCGGCTGAGAATTTCCGATGAGTCATAAAGATAGTATTTCAGCGCTGTTGCTATTCGGTGTGGAAGACGTTTTTGTAGTATTTATAAAATGATATATTAGATAACAATAACTAATAGATAGGTTAACATAAATAATAATACCAGCTATTAATAAATAATAATATATAGGTTAAATATTAGTATAAACATAATAATACCGCTGGTTATAAACTAGTAATTAATATATATACTATCACATTATAAATCATGACATCCAACAAGAGATAGAGACAGTGCTTTCCCAATTTTACTCACCAAAAAATAGGAGCATTGATTTCGACACTATATTAGAATGGTTTCAAAATCGCAAGGCAACTGCGTGGAGCTGTAATGATTGCGGTGACAGGTGACACTGAGAGCCCGTAAAGTCATCCGCGCCACATTCCTCATCTTTCTCACCCTATGCGCCCGTGCTGCCCTCCTCTTAGCTGACGGTAGGCCTCATCAGGAGTTAGCATTATCAATGATTCTACTCTGCAGGTGAGCCGCTAATGCAGACTCTTGTTGGGATAGCATTTGTAGCAGTGATTCCAGCATTTGGATATTGGGGGGCAAAGAAAGCGTAATAACTACAGGAATTTAGAAATAGTGATATGTGTTTTGTAGGTCGCCGACGTTAATGAGCCTGTTCTGTCTGCTGATGCTGATTCACGCATCACACGCGACGGCTCTATTGATATACGTCCTAGTCGCTGCCTTCACAGACGGATGCATGTACGTTCTCCCATGTGGGTTGATTTCAATCTTATGTCAGAGATGAGGAGGATCCGAGCCGTCCTGGGATGACGATTTGTCGGAAAATAGATTGGAATTGGATGTTCACCATTGCGGTCGTTCTCCTCGCAGTATGGGCAGTGCTGGCCTTCTACGCTTCTTATCAAGGATACAAGCTCTTTGTGAAGTTGGCCAGCGGTGACCAGGTGAGGCAGCTACTGCCGCTATCGGTGTGGACTCGGTGGCTGTAGGTTGCCACTACGCAAGAGGGGACATCATCAGCTTATGAGATGGATCAGAAGGATGGGGAAGTCACATACGGCAAGGTGGGACTGCTTATTGAGCTCCATGTGTATGTGATTGAAGTGTGTTTCAGCCGGTATCAGAGAGTACCACACCTGTCTCAAATGACGATATCGAGATGGGCAAGGCCCAACAGCCTAGCCGCCGTCATGGCTCGTCGACTTCGCTTGACAGTGGTGTACTTTGAGTGTAGTCCTGATGAGCATGCACTGTGTTACGGGTGTCGCCTTGGTATGAAATAGTGAGATAAACTCCGCCTGGTAGGTCTTCACACGGGGACTATACAGTGCTTGCCAATTTGATATGCAAACGTGAAAAATGAGCATGCTTCCGTTAGAGTGATGATAGTGTAACAATGTAAATATTGTTATATATAAGTACTGTGAGAAGCATAATCGTTTGAAGCCGCAATAGAGAAAAAATACCCATCATGTGATCTCGCGCTCGCCCAGGTGTCCCGAATAACAAAACCTAGCGATTTATAATATATGAGTTTTTCGTCAAGATCGTTGCCGAACTCGAGTTCGACGTGTATCTACGTCTTTTTCATTTACTCGTTCGAGTTCCTCTGGCGATTCGGGATTTGATCGTTTCTCATCAGCACAGGTATGTCTGCATTCACTCGATGTGTTTTCTCAGGCTTGTCGTCTTCGATCGGCTTATGTGTATATAACTGTGCTTGTTCGGTTGCACTCCCCCCTGATAGGTTTTGAGTGAAAACTGAGTGGATTCTGTACTGAATATCATTTCAAGATACTCTTTGGGGAGGTGTTTTGTGTTGTTAGTACTTCGACTGTAAAAAGGGGCGAGAATCGAATAAATTCTCGGATATGCACGAGGGGGATTGAGTAACATGCTAGGGAAGGAGACAAACTGAGAGAGCAATAACAAACAGACTGCGAAATCAGACTATGAGGGAAATCTCTTCTGCGCGAATTCGCCATGGAATCGTGTGAGTGACGTATACTGTCGATATTATGGCTGATAATGCGAACAAAGTGATGATGTTGCATCATGCTGGATCAGTAGACCGCCGGTCTCAGATATATCTAACTTATCTTAACTATAATTAACTTATGTAACTTAGGGTCTCAGATTTATGCTCGTGAATCACGAGTCGTGATTCATAGTCGTGTGAAACTAACGAGGTTGTTCGTGTGCAGGGTTTGTAGTTCCCAATACGGGTTGAATACGATAAAAGCATCTACTTATTTGGAAGCATATGTCGCGGCCTTATCCATGTCGAGAACTGGGGCCGCCATGGAATATCCATGAAGAACACATCTGTGATCCTTGGAGCCATTGCCAGCTCAATGCTGGACATCAGGATGAGCCTGAAGCCGGTCTGTAGACTAGGTAAAACGTTCCGTGAGAGAAGGCCTTCCGTAAGAGAAGACCTTTCGTGGATTTTCGCAGAGCATCAACAAAACCAAGAAATCTTCGTGGCCTTCTTCACGTTAGGAGAGGCGAATAGACCTATGCGAAAGTAAAACAGAGTGGTGCAAGGAAAGGCCCACCCCTTGAAGTTTCCCGACATGTGATAGTTGAAGAACAAAATAGGTATCATTGAGAAGCTCTTTCCAACGCTGTATGAACGGCTCTGATATTCGAATTGCTCACTGAGGTCTCGTCAAACGCCAAGTCGGCCACATGGAAAAACGCCGTACCGGTTTCGACTTGGTACTCACAAGGGATACTCGGCCACACTTTGCATGCTCTCTTTACATTAGGAAGAAGGCTGGCACCCAACGCCAGGTCTCAACTCGTCGGGGGTCATCACCTGGCAGTTCCACCGGCATCCCCGCGGGAACTTCTTCCTCATGACCATCGCACACGAAGTCGGCATGTCCTTGTGCAGACAAACGATTGAGCAGATTTGCAAACGGTCTCTGAAGTGTGAGTCAAATTGGCAATAATCGAGTGTCGATACAGAAACTCGTGGAGGAACTCGAGTATTCGCAGCCAATGTCAGAAGCATCATCATGGTCCTGCGAAGGGTGGGAAGTCTTCCTCTTAGTTTACTCGGGCCGCCATAGAGACTGTGCAAGCTGCAAGTCTGCCTCGTGATGTGACCCTTAGGATCCAACTTCGCACCCCTGATTGCATGAAGCTTCACATTCAGTGATGTGCACCGGCAATCACGAGTTGGGGACTTGGGATTTGGACAACTCGATGGGCGTGGCTATGAGTCTTACTCATCTCAATTCTTGATTCGTCGCCGAGGAGATTATCCAAAACAGTCTACAGCCTCTCTCCGGAATCACTGCTAGCACTCAATGATAAGTTCAACGGCCTAGCATTCACAGCAACGAGTTGGTGCGAAGGGTCTCGGGGTGTCTACCCGGTACGTATTCTAGAGATCCTAGCTCTACGGTGATCGAAGAATGGACTCTTCGCAGCTTTCGACAGGCGCTGCCGGCTTGGTAAGAGGAAGGTCGTGCTCAGCTCGCACTCTCATGCGTATTCTGTGCTATGATAGGCGGTAAAGGATACTGGGATGATCCTAGTGGGATCACTTATTATAACGCTCACTATACGACCACGGTGGGGACATGGCAGGACAGAAATTCTTGTGCGCATAGTGAGTCGAGGATTATCAACCGTGCGGATTGGTATCTTCCATAATATCTTTACTCACTTGCAAAATTTGACATGCTCTCGCTCGCCTTTACTTAAATGAGCTAATCTGATAATTAGCACTCGGGCTTCGAGTTCCTGACTTGTTCATGGTGCTACTTGCCTGTTTTAGCGGGCTTGCCTATTGTTAGTCATAGGTTGTCGACTAATCTCCCCATGCTCCATTGTCTAGCTCTCGCCGGTAGTTTGGCCGCTGTGGTCGTCGCCGTCACTGATCTCAGAAGACTCCAGTTTCCAACCACTCCCTCTCCGACTATCAAGCCGGAGGATCGCGAACGCTGTAACCTCTACTGCAAAAGTGAGTTTACGACTGCGTTCTGAGCGATTCGATCTTCTTTTGCAGCTTTGAATGGGGCGTCAAGCTACTGCAAGCATTGGCTAACCTATCCAGTTTGTATGACCGGGAATCAACCTTGCTCGGCAGATGTCTGCAATGGTAAGCAGCTCAGTGTAGCATCTACTCAGCATTCCCGATCTCCTATCAGCGCATTGCCAACCACTCTTCCTCAGTTCGGCCAGGAGCTACGATTCCGCCTCAGCCCACACCGTCCAAGGAAACTGCTGATGCCTGCGATCAGTATTGCCGAGACCTCAATAACCCTGGAAGTTATTGCAAGTGGTGGAGATCTTCTCCTGTCTGCCATGTGGGCAATCAACTCTGCGGCGATCTAGCGGTGTGTGAACCCACAACAACTCGATCCGTGCCCCCAATCACGACTACTCCAACCCGACCTACCACATCCACGGCTGACACGACTACAAGGGTTTCTACAACCACTCCAGCCCGACCTACCACATCCACGGCTGATACGACTACAAGGGTTTCTACAACCACTCCAACCCGACCTACCACATCCACGGCTGATACGACTACAAGGGTTTCTACAACCACCCCAACTCGACCTACCACATCTACGGTTCCTACGACTACAAGGGTTCCTACAACCACTCCAACCCGACCTACCACATCTACGGTTCCTACGACTACAAGGGTTTCTACAACCACTCCTACCCGACCTACCACATCTACGGTTCCTACGACTACAAGGGTTCCTACAACCACTCCAACCCGACCTACCACATCTACGTTTCCTACGACTACAAGGGTTTCTACAACCACCCGAACTCGACCTACCACATTCATGGCTGATACGACTACAAAGGCTACTACAACTACTCCAACTCGGCCAAGCACATCTACGGCTGTTACGACTACGAGGGTGTCCACAGCCGCTCCAACTCGACCTACCACATCCACAGTGCCTATGACCTCGAGAGCATCAACAACAACCACCCAGCCAACCACGTTCCCGGCTTCTACCGCTACCCCAGGGGTTTCTATAACATCAATTGCTCCTACGACGATCGCAGTGGTTCCTACCACTTCGTCCGTGCTTCCCACAACGCCGCGTGTCATTCCTAGCGGGACGCCCGATATTTCTGCTTCGCCACCTGCCAGCCCTCCTGGGTTGCGGTAAATTTAAAGTGTGTTGGAGAGTTGGCAATGACGGATATTTACACATAATTAGGTGGGTACTTCACCTCTGATTCACTATCACTAAGCCTATTTTCTCTGCACCATGGGCTCCTCAAACCGATCCGTATTCACATGCATTCATACAAAGATGAATTGTGTTGTATGTGTAGTATCCCACTTGAAGAATCTCTGCATTGTCCCGAGACTTACACGGGATGTTAACCTAAGCGGATATAATAGCTCAAAAAATTGGTCGTAACTTGTTGTCACGTCTGCATTGTTTATTGAAAGTCACCCTTTGAAAGATGGATAAGGACTCGGAGTTATCAGGCGCTCGAACAAATGATTGTACTTCGTAGCTGAAACTAAGAGGTGATAGTACTAAGAAGCTATTCGACTTGTAAAGGCCTTGAGATTGAAGGCCAAGGGTATCCTCTTTTCTCAAGCTGTAAGAGGTAGTTTCGATGAACCTAACTGAATTTTCGTGGCTGACTCACGTCGCATGATGGTGACTAGTGATAGATAGAATTCGCAGTGCCTACGTATACAAGGAGACAAACAAGTTGAACGCAAACTGCTACTCGAGGAAAAACCTTCTCACGTTTTCCTGCTCTAAGGCGTCGACATCATGCGGTCCATTGATGAAAAGGTCTTGGACAGCCTCCTTCCTTTTTGATCGCAGCAGTTTCGCAGGCTGGTGTCACACCAGTGGGGTACACTGTGTACGTACGGATGCCCCAGAAGGGGGGATCCCCTGTGAACGGTACACAGGACTCGCGCCGCTGGTATTTCATTACTGACTCAGTAATACTGATAATTCACGGATAACTACGTCCGGAATAATTGCGAAGTTTAGCCCGCCTGACACGGAAAGATACTCATGAAGTGTATCCTGAATGCTGCGCGCTGACGATATCCCAACTTACATGCGGTATCTCGGAATTGCAGGGCTTTCTTGTGGTCTCCTTGTGTACCTGATATGCTTCTGGCTTGTTTCCTCCGACAATCATAATGATGATCCCTAGCCTCGCTATGATATTGAGCACAGCTTGGCTCGCATCCGGCTCAAGTGATCTTAGAAGGGTTCAAAGCGTTAGTCCTACTACTCCGGCAGCCACAGCTACTACCGAGGACCCCCACACATGTGACTTTTACTGCCAATGTGAGTTCATTTGCCTCGAAGAAGTGACATCTACTCATTTTGTCAGTCCTTAATGGCCCATCGAGCTACTGCAAGTATTGGCTATCTCATCGAGCTTGTCAGGGTGGGGAGCAGCCATGTTCGATTGATGTCTGTAATGGTGAGGATGTTTCTTAAGCTTGTGACTTGGGCCATAACTTCTCTCATAGTTCCTGATGGTGCAAGTGTTGCGACTCTGCCAACACCGTCACCGGATGATGTCGAGGTTTGCGATCGATACTGTATGCTCCTCAACGGTCCATCGAGTTACTGCAAGTGGTGGCAGTCTCCTGCTGTTTGCCATTCCGGAGGTCAACCATGTGGTGATGTTACGATTTGCTTGGCCCCAATCATTGGTACTTCGACCTATGATCTGGTTGGAGACCAACACGGTGGACCATCACCAGCCTGCGACTCTTATTGTCAAGATCTCAACGACGAGTCAAGCTATTGCAAGTACTGGCAGAACCCTGCGGTTTGCCTCAGCGGCGACCAGCCATGTGGTCCTTCAGTCTGCGACACCACAACGTCCGTTGTCTCAGTTTCTACTACGCCGACGCCAACCACGATACCGGCATTGTCCACAACGCTAGTATCGGATACTTCCTCTGTGCGGACGACTTTTACATCTCCCTTGTTTGGGGGTGACTCTGATTCGACCGCGACTACCTTTGATGGCTGCGACACCTATTGCAAGGCTCTAAACAACGAGTATAGTTACTGCAAGTACTGGCTGGACAAACCGGTGTGTCAGAGTGGAGACCAGCCATGCGGCCTCTCTGTATGTTGAGCGTGACGATCAAGCGTGACTTGAGTTAGATGGGCCTTCCTGTGTGATTCTACCCAGCATGTTTGACATTTCCAAGCAAGGTGTGTTATACGGATATTCGATAGACTCGATCGTATGCACGCTATCGCGTCACATTCACGACTTGCACCGTCCTCTCAGTTACTTCTTCACACACCATTCCATACATTTCAACTCGGTACTCATGAATCATGGAATTATGTGACAAAGTTGTTCTTGCGTTGAGATCATCAATGAATGTTCAGGAGTGAGCACAGCAGCCCACCACCATTTAAAGCAGCTCTTTGGGCATTTCGGTATATTCGCTAAGTAACGCTGGAAGTTCCGGTCACTGCTGTCACATTAGTAGAAAGTGGCGGATTTAACGCAAGACTCGTCTCGAAGCAAGCTGTGAAATAGTTATATTGATGATAGAAAATGAGATAATCGAATGCTTATAGTTGCATGATAATCAATAACTCCAAGATAAGGTAGAGTTATAGGATAACTCTATCTATCAACCTCGACATCTGCCAATTCTCTGACTTCACACACCTTAATGAGCAGAGCATCTGACGACATGTCTCGGCACCTACGATGAGAGAGAATCGGAACAGATACGAATGACGATACATAATTTCACTGAAGTCACTGCGACTCCTCGGCGGGGACCTGCCAGCTTTCTTCGGTGGTCAAGCTACTCCCTGAAACAGATTTCTACATCCTGATTCACACAGGCACTTCATGTGGTGGCGATCCTCACCTCCGTCCTCGTGGGCGTCGTTCGATTCTGGACCAAAGCTAACTGTGACATTACGCGAGTTTTCGAAGAGCTGCTTAACCTTCTCGCAATCACAGAGCAGAACCGTGATTCGGCGCTTCGAATCTTCCCCGGTAGCGCCACCACCATCTGTGACGTCAGCAGTGAGCTTGTTCAGAGTTGACTCGTCATCATCTTCGCGGAGTTTTACATGAAGCTTGAGCCTGTTGTGCCATTCTTTCGAAGGATTAGCCTCAACCCCCAGCTCCACCGCATCAGACCAAGACTGCTCGATAAGCGGACAGATAGCCCCTTCATCATCGTAATACATAAGTCTGATATCTCTATCAACGAGATCTGGCCAAGCTGTCCTGGCCATGCGCTTCAAGTCTTCCACACGGCAGGTCTCGTGTTCGAGGTCTATGCGGCAGCGGAAGGTGGCCTTTCTATAATGTATCTTAACGGCGTACCACATTATAGTCGTAACTGCTGATAGTCAGTGATATAAGTGGCAAGATTATCCGCCGTCACCCATTCCGCGTGTGCATGCGTGCACTGATCGATTGATTTTGTGGTCAAAATTCGGAATCTCATATGAACAATTCTCCACCCCAAACTTCCTTATCTCATTGCAGGAACCCGACTCACTGCTATGGTATAAATAAGATTGACTATGAGTGCTGGACTTTGCACTACTTACGCTGAGAATGGAACAATGTGGCGAAACAGGACAGAGGGAGTCGGTTGAGGGACTCCCTCAACCGGAGACATTCAAAGATACCAACATATAGAAATAGAAAATCCAAGGCAGACAGTCAGAATCGAGTGAGAAGCATTGTTCCTACCAGCACTTCGTGCTTTCCAATTCCACGGAGTTGCAGGACTAAAGACGAGCTGATATATCATCAGTCACATTGACCGATTCTATATCCTCAACAAGCTCAACTGTGTGGGTGCAAATCACATCGTGTAGTCCAAAAATAACAATGTGGGCGCTATCAGCTTCGACTCAGAGACGGACTTTTGGTGTTGTTATCCCTAAAACTAGGGGACGACAATGTCTTCACGACATGGAAACCGTACTCAAGCCTTGCTCATGAGATGCGCCCATAGCGGTGAAGCTTGGGCAAACAGCAACGACGTCACCGTAGACCTCATCATAAATCAAGATTAGACATTCTGCGCCCGAACCAGTATACAACAGTGTTGTAACAACACACAGCAGCAAACGCGCGAAGCTTGCGTGACCCGATAAGCATCCGGGACCTATGACGTTAAACTATCCGAGAGCTTCCGACACAAGTGTAAACGGGGAGGGTTAAGATCCAAATCAGCTGCATCGGACGAGCTACCACACGCAAGTATCAAGCGGTTCAGGTATGCGTGGGGCAATCTTTGATTTTCGTGTGACCATCTAGGATCACACTGAGGAAAATGGCCAGAATGAGCAACGACTGAGAAAATGAAATAGTGGCCATCCTAACTGCACATCAGTAGTGACTATTGTCATCGACTACTTTTATTTCTAGTCTAGTCCCATGTCACCCTCGTGCCCGCCGGGCACTGCCCGGTAAACAGTTCTCCTCGGAAACCTTGCAATAGGGGGCCCCCATTCTGTGCCCCCATTGGGGGCCCAGAACTGTGCGACGGATTGAGGTGTGATTGGGCACCTCAAATCGATTGTCGTGGTTTGCAAACCATACTTGTTTGAACGCCCTATGATTTCCAGTGCTCATTATACTTTCGTTATGAAAGAATAATAACTGAATCGCGAGGCTTCCATGAAGAATTGGGCACGCGAATACAGAGCCTGTCATACGCTATAGTCAGGCATTAGCTGAGCATTATGTCAGCCTTGAGCTGTGTCACTCTGTGTGCATCAGTGCGACTCTAGCATCCGCACGTGACACGTGTTTGTTCGGTGCCAACAAACCTTATCGATTGTATGTCGTGCGGGGTCCACCTTGGCAGAGCCGCCCTAGCAGCGCCTCAGCCTATGTCGGTCAGTATTTCTACAGGATTTGCTGAGCGACCCCTCTGGAGTAATCAGAGAAGTCACTTCTCTAAACTGGAGGGATTCCGGGGATATATACCATGACCCATTATCTCATGAGTCACTCATGATGAGTGCAATGATCCTAGAATGTGAGGTCCTGCCAGGACCGTCCTGGTAGTCAGGTGTCTCCTTGCTGAGTATCATGCTCGCACACTCGGTATTCTTATCGACATTATTCGTTCATGTCATAACCATTGGCAGAGCTGCCTTCAACCGCACGCGGGTCACGATATCTCATCGTGGGACCCGACTCGACATCTGTCATGTACCGGATATGATGGCACGGGTCATCGCTGGTTCTGAAGGGATATATACCCTCAGTCAGGAAGACCGTGAGCGTGAGCGATGCTGCGCACGAGATGGGTTTGATCCATGACTTGAAGTGATAGAGATCCAGATTGTAGAGTCTAAATTCTCAATTGGTTACAGTGGAATCTAATCTCCTGAGGAATGAAGGTCCATTTATGGGGCTAGTTCAAGGACGAATGTATTGAGATTATTAAACGAGCTCAGAGATCTCCTCGTGGTGTTTCTGGAAAGTTTCCAGTGAAACTCAACTATAATGTTTTATTTTTTTTTCTTTTTTCTCTCTAAGTTTTATGGAGGGCTTCTAGATTATCTCCATTTGAGTGGTTTCACAACACCCTAGTTTACTGACCTTCGTGGTTGACCTGGTGTTATAACTAGAATGTTGTATATAGGAGATAAAGTTTAGAAGCGCCACGGGTTTGATAAACCAGTGGCAATCACCCAAACCTCCATATTACTGAACACAATATAGGTGGTTACAGTGAATCCATAAATAAGGAGTTGAAAGCCGAAGATATCCTCGGCATTGAATTTGAATGTGAGCCCGATTCCTAGGTAAGTCTAAACCTGGATGTTACTGATGACAATGGGCATGGTACTCACTTTGCTGGAATCGCGGCCGCTGAGACTAACAATGGCATCGGAAATTGCAGAGTGACGAATAGTGATGAGCCGGTGCACCATGTGAAGCTGATGATATTGAAGTTCATTGACGCTACCGGGGTAGGCGACGCCAGCGACGCACAGGAAAATTGGTCTGATCTATGCAAAGTCTGCTAGTCCAGACAATGAAATTTAATCTAAGCAAAAGCTGCTGTTCTATGCTGTTTTTGCTAAGCCATGCAATAAAAACCGTGTACGCTATAACAGTAATGCTTAGGATAAGAGCGAGCGAGCGAAGCGAGCGAGCTAGTAATTTCTCAACATTAATCACGTGACTGTGTACATCATTCAATGGATAATGACGATCCAATGATAATGAAAGAGTGAGACTTGGGGCTATAATATAGCCTATACTTATTCCTCGATGTTATGTACGTTGTTACATTATTATCCTTTATAACAATGCTTGCGCTGATGCCTATTCTTTCGACTTGATATATATTAAAGTACTTGCGATTTGTTCAGCACGAAACCGGAGTTCGGGAAACGGGGACCGAAACGTGAACGTAGCGGAACCTCACCTCGGGGATTGATCGTCCATCATGAAGCATACAAAGTTGATGTCATCAACAGTTTAGCTATTGTAACTCCTGGCATTACTTACTTAAGGTGATAATGGCATAGGCCGACGGCCTTATTCAATTTACGCTTGAATAGTAAGTTCATTATGTCTAGGCTTGTTGGTTTTTGTTTGTCCTTTCTTTCTATGAACGACTGCATGTGTTCATGCTGTGTGCGTAACCCTTCTACCTAGTTGAGCTTCTACAGAACATGTGCATACGTATCATTTCACTGCCATGCTGATAGAATATGTCAAGTATAGTGTAACTACCACATGTTTGTGCTGGAAACACGTAGTGGGAAGAGTGGAGCTTACTATGCATGCCGTCACATCAAGTGTTGGCATCCTGTTCATTCCTCAAGTCTTTCACATTTTCTTTTGCGCAGTTGGAATAGCGCGCGCCCATAAAAAATCAGCGCAAGATCCTCAGCGCGTGTTCATGAAATTGATTTAGTTTGAACAATTCTCGTGCTTTTAGTTAAGATTATGAGGTTCATTATATGTAGCGTGCATCCGGATTCATCATAGATATCATGTGGAAGGGTTCGGACTTCCTTCAAGGCACCACCATAGAGTGATAATGACGTGAAGATGTCTGATAGAGGCTATTCAAGCGGTAAAAGGAAGGGTAGTAATTTTTACTACGATCTTTTTGTGTATATGTATTTGCTTGTTTGAGCCGATCCACTGTGATCAGCCTTATTTCATTCATAGCTTTCAATTGAGCCGATCCACTGTGATCAGCCTTATTTCATTCATAGTTTTCAATTGAGCCGATCCACTGTGATCAGCCTCATTTCTTGCATAATTTCTCATAGAGCCGATCCACTGTGATCAGCCTTATTTCATTCATAGTTTTCAATTGAGCCGATCCACTGTGATCAGCCTTATTTCATTCATAGTTTTCAATTGAGCCGATCCACTGTGATCAGCCTTATTTCTTGCATAATTTCTTATAGAGCCGATCCACTGTGATCAGCCTCATTTCTTGCATAATTTCTTATAGAGCCGATCCACTGTGATCAGCCTTATTCTTGCATAGCTTTCTTATAGAGCCGATCCACTGTGATCAGCCTCATTTCATTCATAGTTTTCAATTGAGCCGATCCGCTGTGATCAGCCTCATTGCTTGCATAATTTCTTATAGAGCCGATCCACTGTGATCAGCCTTATTTCATTCATAGCTTTCAATTGAGCCGATCCACTGTGATCAGCCTTATTTCATTCATAGTTTTCAATTGAGCCGATCCACTGTGATCAGCCTCATTGCTTGCATAATTTCTTATAGAGCCGATCCACTGTGATCAGCCTCATTTCTTGCATAATTTCTTATAGAGCCGATCCACTGTGATCAGCCTTATTTCATTCATAGTTTTCAATTGAGCCGATCCACTGTGATCAGCCTTATTTCATTCATAATTTCTTATAGAGCAAATTTTTAGGCTCACCAGGTCTATTGCAACTGGTCTTTGATTTCTTACAATCTTCGCCAACAACAAAATCTCTATGACGTTTTGTTTCATCATGGAATTTCCCTCGTTGTGAGATTTATTTTGCTAATGCGTAATTCTGTTCCGTTGAGTCATTCCACTCCCTCCAGAAGAGACCGTGCTAAACAAAATCGGGATAAATGGGTAATACCGCCGTTTCTTGTAGGCTTTCTCGGAATCAACTCTACGATACATTCCTTCAGATATTATTTCACGAACGGAATCAGCAGGTTTTGACAGAAAGGATCGCAGAGCTCACAGAGGAGCTCGAAAATGCGAGACAGTTCAGTGGTGCGCCGAAAACCTGTTTGCATCATACTCCACAGTGCTGTCAGGCTCTAACGAACATCCACATACAGTAGATCATGATCGAAAAAGGGCAAGTGTAGTAGTAGACGTTTATCATCTTCAAGTGGATTTTGTTGTCTTCAGGAGGTCTCTGGTGCCAAGGCTGTGCAGATGGCTGAACGATCCGCGGCTGAATCTAAACGCCTATCAGTGAGACGAAATGCTTGAAGACGGTGTAAGTTTGATTTCTACTTGTTTACCTCTGACGATTGCACTTAGGCCTACTTTAAGATTGACTCCAAACAAGCGCAAACACGCGAATTCTGGGAAGTCGGCTGATAACAAAAAAGTAAGGATGCATTACTCGACTTGCATATTGTATACACGAAATTTCGCACGTACTCGTTTATCCTCATACGCAAATTCCAATTCATCAGACGTGACGTCGACTACTGATGGTAACTTGCCTCACAGCTCTCCACATATTTGTAATAGGTACAACTCTCAGAGGCTAGCGAATCCTCATCGTATCCCACCAAAACCGTGAGACCAGAGGACTTTCCAGACCAGCGTAGAACCAAGGCATGCAACAAACTTCAGGGAGTTGCATGCCTCAAACCCAATGGTTGTGCGAAGTTGAAGATAGAATCTGCATTCACCGACTCGTGTTATATAAGGATTGCTTTGTACCAAACATCAAGATGTTCTCAATCACCAAGGATCTTGGGCATGGATACGTTACATTCCGGACAGACCCTCCGTCTAGAGCTACCGGCCAAGGATGTTGAATTTTGGTTGCAGACCTCCACGGGTAAAAAAACACATGCACCAAACCTGAGGATTGAAACGAGTCATAGCCCGAGAGAATGGACTGTCGTTGCCCCGCCGCAGCCTGCAGGCGACAAGGCGACCTGATATTTCACGACTGGCTTGGTTTTACGAGACAACCATGATTAAGGTACTTTTCGTTTCATGGATGTACTCTCATGCGCAGTGTTCAGTCAGTCAATCGGTACAATTGACATTCTTGTTAGCAGTTTGCTAGAAGGAAGTCTAATCAGTCTAATTTTACCACAGGAGGAGTCTTTGTTAAAATGCAAGAATTTTATGATTTCAAACCGTGTTGATAGGGTGTGTTGAAATGCAGTTTAACAAAGATAATTCAACGTGGGACATTTAGCTGTTTCAATATTCAAAGGATGGGGCGTTTCTAGTTGTTCCCCTGCGCTTCGTCGTTGGATTGCCAAATGCCTAGACACCTCAACTGGATACAGGAAAATCAGTTTTGCGGGATACCGGCTGGCTCGAATGCGTTCAAGGTGGCGCTCGAAAGGCTGCATCTTGATAACGTTCTGCTGCTGTCGTATCGCCGAGAAAACTATGAGGTTTATCATTGCGGCGATCATTTGGGCTGTCCGAGAAAGTGGAAACTTGTACAAAACGGAGACCATGTAACGGTCTTCGCATCAGGTAGACCGCTGATACTGATGACGGTCTTGGGCAGGATCATTTTTTGCAGCCTTTGGCTCTCCCTCGTTGTATCCAGAATACAATATTCTTATGGATTTCAGGAGAGCACGGCCAGATAGAGCGTGTGCGCAATCGCACCCGTCATCCCCAAAAGATTATGTCATTTGTGATCGAGAGGGCTTCAAAACAAGGCATGACCGCAAGTGACATATTCAATAATCTAGCCGTCGACCATAGGGAATATGTGGAGGCAGGGAAGATATCCCGCCAACAGGTACTCATCACTTTAGTCGATTTATCTGCAAGTAGCGAAAGCAGGTCCAAAACATAATTTCCGGATTGCCGCGTCGTCGTGACCTTGGAATGCCGCATATTGGAAACTTCTTTGAGCTAGAAGAAGCCTTTGAAGATTCGCGCATGGACCAAGCGCTGATCGACTTCATACTGGAGGGTGGAACACCTGCAAAGGAGTTTGTCTACCACGGAGGGTATTGGTCTGACAATTTTGCTTGCATTGTCGGCGGAGCGAGTAATATCAGCACGGCGCAATATCCATAGTTATCATTAGCTTTCACAACAAGACATTCACGCGTGACAGGTATGTTGACTTCTCTCTTGTGGTTCATCCGTTCGATGCCTGCGGGATTCCCATTGTATATGGACGCACAGAACAAGATCATTCGTGGAAGCCAAAAAGTCGCATGGGTTGGGTCTACCAGGATATGGTACGATTAAACATTTGTTTAGGAATTCTTTGACAGGATCCTGCCATGGTGTGCAGGTACGATACTTCTCGTAGAGAGTACAGACATACCTTTGTCCCGTTCTTCATGGCAATTATAAACGAAGAATGCTATGAAGTATATCATCATCTGATAACCCATTTGGATATGCTCGTTCGTGCGTTAACCTCGGGGGAGCGCGGCCTGAGTGACGTCGTCAATCTCTGCGTTCACGATGCCCATCAGGGTGCCATTAAGGCATGTAATGAATTGCTGCCAGATGTGAGAAACGGTAGGTGCGATGATATGTATGAATATAATAATATTTGGTCTCTTCATCACTCAGCTCGTTGCTATTTCCACTTGAGCAAAAACTTCAAGGACAATCGGGGCGTATTAGGGGATGCATTTCCAATTGTGAGTTACGTATTAAAATTGGAGTTATCATTTTCTGACGTTTCCAGGTCATGCGCCACAAGTTCTGGCTGCACTCTTGCGCACTGATGGATTGTATGACTTACTCTCGATGCTCTGATAAGCACTGTGGATCGGCATGCCCAGGGGGCTGAGTATTTGCGAAGAACCCTCAATACAGACCAATATGGCAACCCACATATTGCAATAACGAGAGAGGGTTTGGCTGGAACTCAAGCAAGTTAATCACTGCATGTATCGGGTCAGACTTGTTGTCCAGGTATTAACTAACATTGTCGAGTCATTTCACAAGACCAATACAAGGATCATGGGCAAGAAGAGACTCAATTTGGGCGCCTTTGCGGCAAAAATACGCAAGGTTCAACAATTCGCTCCTTGCAGTTCGATACTTAGTTCTAATTCCCACTAGGTTATCACCTCCTTGAAACTCTCAAGTTCTCAGCACTATGTCAAGCGGCCTGAGCCTATAAATGCAGTGGACTACAAACGCGAGATGAAGATTCGCGGGACTAGATTCAAGCAACGGAATATGGTTTGGGAGGTAATTTATGATACGTCTGATATCATATCTGTCATAAACTGTAGATAAAAGATTGAATTCATTGAGTACTAACTCACCTCGCTATGGGATATTTCATGTTCTCTACGATTCTCGATTGATCACCATTCGATTGCAGGTGACTGCAAACGTGAGAGATTTAAGTGATGGAGACATTGAAGGGCGGTTCTTCCTACTCGCAAATAGTCGGACTCGAGCTGATGAACGTGATGAAGCACAGCTAGAGAGCATCGACACATACCTTCGTGGTATGCTGTTCGAAGACCTACCGGATGGTCCGTGACTCCAAAAAAAATGGTAAATGTGGTCTCTTATAACCTCGTTTTAGTCGGTACGCGAACTTTGCAAGAAGTAATGGAGGACTTCTTCTGCTTCTATCTCGTCACCACAGACCCAAGGGCTCATATGATGCTCAATGAACGCAAGACTCCTCCAGCTTGTACGTGCAAGGATTATCGAGATTGGGCTTGCTGCGCACATGGCTATGCTGTGGAAGTTCATCTTGGGACTCGGCCGTCGTAAGTTGTGAACGTGCCAAACCTAGTGTTTATTTAATGTCCAGGCTCGCATCGGAACTTCCTTCTGTACTTCAGGTACGTTCCAGAAACAAGGGCGATCGCAGGTTTGCGGAGAGGACGTCCTACGCAACGAGCCGTCGGGGTCCTTGGGAGATATAATTCCGCTGTATCGTTACCGCAACGCGATAGTTCATCAGCGAGTTCCGACACCAACTCGAGCAGTTCCGACTCTGCCAGTATAAGATCAGAGAGTAAGTTCACTAAGGGAACGTTTGCATTAACCATGATTGTTTTTTATTCAGATGATGATCCCGTTGTCTCTGATGGCGACGCGTACTCTGATTCGAGCAACTTCTCCTCCGATGGTTTTCCCGATAGCTCCACTGGTAATCGATGCAACGACTGCCAACTTGCCGAATCGATGTCGTAGTTTTGTTGCGGCTCGGATGGTGTCATTGCAGACACGTCGGATGACGAAGCATCTGAGATCCATGAAACTAGCCTTTCGAGCTCGTCTTCTAGTTCATGTGAGAGCGATGGTTTGTATACTCGTCCTCATCAATCAATGCAATGGCAGGATGCACTGATTGGCGGCGAAAATTGCGATGACTCTGATGGTGATAGGCTATATGAGAGCTGAAAGTTGCAGCCTGCCTCCTTTTCGATCAGATACTTCCAATACTTCCAATACTTCCAATATACATATAGCCAACATGGCCAGCGATCTGTCTGATGCCGAGAGCGCTCTGCAATAGATAGTCTTCGAGATTCAGGACAATAAACATGAACACACATTACTCTTCTTTATGAACATCATATTACACTGTTTCATGACGTGGACTATGACACTTGCGTGATCGTGTTGCCAGTGAGCTAATGTTAGTAACATCATGTTATTAATTCTCACGCAAAAAATGTGTAAATCTCAGATCAAAAATTACGTTCAGAAATCACTCATCAGTATTACTTGAAAGTAGAATACTAAACTAAGCATCACGTACCTGTTGCATAGCATAGCGCATTTGCCCGCAATACCATTGTTTGCTTAGCATTGTATAGATTGCATAGATTTAGTTTTTTTATGATGGATTAGTACATGTTGCATGGAATAGTTATGTTTTGCCGACGCACAGAGGGCCCTCGACTTCGCAGTTGAGCACGGGGCTGCAGCGTCCTCCCATTCCTTCGGTGGTACTTACGCAAGTAGACTCTTAAACACTGGTTTCAAGAACGCCGCTGCTGCTGGGCATGTTGCACTTGTTGCTGCTTGTAATAGTCGAGCTAGCTTGGACGATATGGCATTCTATCCTTGCTCCTACGCGCAAGACTCCACATCTATGCTCTGTGTCACTGCCAGTACTTCTGACGCAACCGAGTCTTCCTGGTGGAATTTTCGAATGCTGGCTCGGTCACGAAGGTTGCCGCTTCCGGTGTTAATATCTACTCGAAGATACCAGGAGGATGATATGGTTATAAGAGTGGTACGTCGATCTCGGCCCCTACTGTTGCCGGTGTCGCGGCTTTGCTGGCTACCCTGGGTCTCAAAGACCATAACGTAGCGGGCACTATTATAAATCCTAGGACAACTGGTATACCCAATAAGTTTTACATACGTGATACCGGAGAAGTGGATGCTCTCAAGCCTTGAGACTCAAGGCCGTCCAAGAGGTTATTGAACAAACCACCTAAGGGCTACGGACTCCGAACATCATCGAGCTAACAAATATTATTCAACTCATTATTTCTCGCCGGAACAAGAAGCTTTCGGTTCACTTTGTATTGTAATTTGGCGTACTTTCACGGCGCGTCCCCTCTTGTTATATTGAATGGAATGTGGGTCTAATGTTAGACCTGTTGTTGAGCCATTCCTCCCTGTGTTCTGTAGGATGGCCGATGGCGGGCTGGCTTTGAGATTGCGCGTCAGGAGGCCTGTACGTGTCTTGCTTTTCCTTTCATTGTATAGTGATTTTTCTGTTAGAAGAAGTTGTGTTGTGTCTGTGCTGGAAAACCTACTTGGATACACACTTCACTGGGCCCCTTATCGCGAAGAATGCTCCATAGGGCGTTTTCGGATTCAATACACATGTGCAAGAGAAAGCACGCGGGGTGCACACAATTTCTGTTGTTCTCCCCTGCCCAGCAAATTCGATCCACAGTGGATCATCCACTCAAGTTGAGTGACTCAACTCGTGAGGACTTGCAGACAGCCTGCTGCAAAACCGTGGAACCTCTTTAAATTTTGAGCCCAAATTTCGAATTTGTGACTCTATGAAAGAGCGTCACGTTCCCTAGCAGCGATTCCCAGACCCAGGAGCACAAATGAACACAATTCGTTGATGTGAATCAGAAGCGAAGGAGCAGCCTCCAAAATTCAACGCGAAGGACTTTCATGAGAGTCTTGTTGACCTTCTAGTTGTTACACTTCCGAATATTAGCTGGAATCCGTTATGTGGTAAACAATGAAATAAAACTGACCACCGCAAGTCCATCGAAGAAAAAAGTATGAACGAGCTGGGTTTGGATAACGAAGAATGCTCTTTGAGTAAAAGATGTTCAATAAGCATTCTGTAGCATAGTATGCTAATGGTATGCTAAGCATACCCTAGGATGATAGACATAATATCCTAGTATACCTGGGGTATGAGAGGATATTATATTCGGACCACTATCCCATATTATAGAACGCGTAGACGACGAGACGAGATCCAGGAGTATCTGAGGAGCGACCGGGGAGTGTATCAGATTAGTATAAGAACTTATTTTCGACGACCAGCTTTGGCCGAAAACTGAGCTCGACGCTCAGTCACATCAGCTGAGAGCTCAGAAGCTCGAGCCCTGGCTTGATGCCCTGTTCACTCCCAAGTTTATGGTTACATGTAGTGAGCCAAACAAGATGCGAAAAAACTCACCCAATATCTTTATGAATCCCGCCTTCATATAAAGTCGTGCTGGAGCAGGGTCTCTACGCGGAGCCGTCGCGTAAACAACACCCCACTCCGGGTAGGTCGTAGGAAGCTGGAAGACAACAAACATTTCAAGCTATTCTCGATGGCTATTTTCCGTAGGAATAGAAACTGCACTGCTTCTCAGAGGAGTCCATCGTAAGTATCACCTCCTTGAAGGTTTCTGACAGAAGTGTCAATGCAATTTTCTGCCTGCGCCAAGCTGTGACGACGTAAACCTGAAATTCCAGTTTGTAATCACCGTTCGTAGAATAGCAGCATTCGGCCTACAAGATTTAGATATCCAATCTTTCCACTCTTGCTCCCTTTGGGCCTATGAAAATAATGCTTGAGGAGAGCTCCAGCGGGAAGAATCCAGACCGCTGAGCCCCCCTAAACAATAGGACTTACCTGCGGTTTTCGATTGCGGCCTTGATATCCTCAGGTGTTTTTGGTTGAGGCATGTCCATGACAACCACGCCGACGACATCCTGAGGAGGAAATGATAAGCGTAAACTTCTGGGAGCAGCCCGCTATTCCCAGTTCATTCTTAACCCACGCTAGCGAGTCGACTTCGCGACACGACCGACCATTGCATTTCCACTTGGCAGTATTGTCGCCGAAACGGAAAACCAACGCCCGCTTTGAGAAAAACTTCGTGAACTCATCCACTGTTTTTCAATACTCGACTACATATCTTCTGCCAGCGTAAAGCAGTTCAGAGCAGTCGCACCTTCTTTCCGCTGGGCACAGCGACCCAACATAGATAGAAACCACAGGATAGACGACGATGGTATTCTCTTTCCACTAGGGATAGGTCATCTCCCTCCTGATATTTGCGATAGACCACTCCATTAAGCGAGCGCAGGGCATGGGGCTTCGACACCGAGTGTACCAAATGACCTTCAACCACTGTGGAGAAGAGTAACCCAGAGAGCAGAGAGATTAGAAGCTTCATGTATGTTGGAGAAAAGTAATTCACCTGGATCGCAGTCACTTCTGGGTATTCACTCACTGTGGAACCCTCTGAAGTAATCAGGGTCTGAGTACTCCAGACAGACCAACTATAAGGAAAGAAAATGAAGAATCAAGACAGACACGATCACCGACAGACAGGATCACCGTTGGAGGCGGCTGCCTAGGTCGCCGTAGTGGTACCCCCATACGCGACAGAGTCTCCCCCAGTCGGCGACAACGTCATTCACTCAAGTAACCGCGGGTCACAAGAGTCTCGCGGCTATCCTTCGACAATAGCCTCGTAGGTGTGAGCTTTAACGAAGCCATCACCTTGGAAAAAGATCTCAGCTTTTCACATTGCCGTTCTGCGCACGTGTGCAGCTTTCCTAATTCACGGAGTCCGCACGCGTGAGCAGACTGCACGAAATGTGGATCTTCTCAAACACGATTCTAAAACTTCGCAACGCATCTTCAAGTTTAAAAAAAACTGACCTGGATTTGGTAAAAACTTCCCAATCTTAGTCAAAGCCCGTTTATAAAATACTCTGCAACGCAGAGTATTTTGGATGCAGAGTTTACATCCATCCTTCTTGTGTTGATTATGGCTACTTTCCGTGAACAACTAAACCCCCTCACAAGATAATAGAACATACAGTATTTCTTCGATTTCTCTGTTATTACTGCGACTCAGGTTGTGAGATTTCGTGTGTGAGGGTATCACTTATGTAGGAACAAAAATATATCAGAGTCGTATCATTATTCGCTCGCTTTAGTAAAATTTCTGAAACGGTCAATTTT